TTATTGTTTTGCTCTCTGTTTCTGTCACTGTTCTCGTTATTATTGTTGCTCTTGGTTTCCTTTGCTCTCTATTATGTTTCTCTCAACTCCCACATTTTCCAGATTCATTCAAGGCAAGGTTCAATAAAACTTAAGGGAGAAACCCAGTTCTTAGTCATTCAGATTCTTTGACTTTGTTCAACCAACTGGTGACAAGTGCTTATTAGCTAACTTTGGTTTGAGAACAAATTTGCTCCTTGAAGTGCCTTACTTACTATTTGCTCTCAGTTTTTCTTTTCTTATTTACACTTCTTTTAAACACAACTTTTACAATTGTTCCTTGAGGATAATAATCTGAGGCTCATAACAGACCCTATATTACTTGATGCATACGCTTGCGTTGTTTGGGTAGATTTGCTCTTCATATGATTCATTTCTCCTTAGACAGAATAATTGCACCGCACTACTTTTGCTCCCATATTTCCCTGAGCACATCTCAGCCCAATAGTAGTCTTGACTCCTACGTTGTTTCATCAACACTTAGATGAGTGAATAGTGGGGACTATGCCAACTCCAACTTTATTTTAAATTCTATTATGAATATTTTTAGTTTAGTTTTTATTTTGTTATACAATAGTTTTACGAATGAAAAGGTGCAATGTTTTTCATTAACCATTCTTAAGGAATGATGAAACATAAAATAGAGTTGGGTGGTTTACTTTCTTTAATTTTTCTGGTAACGTTTATGTTGATTATTATGATATTTAATAAATATATTGGTTTAGATAGTATTGAGAAATGCAATGGAAGATATTTTGGGTTTTGTTAATTATTTACAATTTTGTATTTGAATACTTGAGAAATATTGCAATATTGGTGAATTGATTTACAAAAGTTATGTCTATGATTGATTTTTCCTTATTAATTGTATATATGAAATTTGTTTTGGGGGAATGACTTACACAAACCACTATAAGCTAATAATCATAAGTGTTAGCTTTGGTGCACAATGACTCATATAAATGCGGGGAGCCTATTTTTGATTTATTAAAGGCAAAAAGCGTGGTATTGTGATAATATTATATTTACCGGCAGGGAGCCCATGATTGAAATGTTATCACTCTATCTGAGTAAATCTCCACTTGAGTACGTATTAATTTAATAAAGTATTGATCTTTGATTTGTTCATACTACCTGATTTGAATTTGGAAGTTTAGTTTTCATCTTTACACTATTGATTAAAGGGATGAGATATTTCTCTATACCTACTCTACCTACTCATTTTCAACACCGTTGAGTCAGAATCTCAAGGGAAGAGAGAAAGGGTGAAGGTCAGGTGATACTCTGATTTAATGGTATTTGCAAAGAGTATGTAGAGTAGGAAAGATAAAAATCTAGGTATAATATCCTATCCCTTAATTAGATACATTTTTATATGTTCTCAAGTCCCAGTACCGCTTGTTATAGTTATTGTTATTTGCTCACTAGATTGCATGCAACTCACTCAAATCATGGTTATATATTTTAAGATAAAGGACAAGAGATAGCCTCTAAGACAACTCATCAGATTTGTTGAGTAAGTCCTGTTGTGTAACACCCCGTGTATTCCCGGTAATGTTATTACACTATCGTATTCAGCTGCGCTTAATCAAAAATGCGGAATATCTTTTTCTTTTCAATTATGACATCATTATACTTAGCCAAGTTGATTACTTAATCAATTTCATAAAATACCGCCTATATGTAAATTGCAATAAGACATCTAACTGAAATACCTCATAATATAGATATAATGTGAGTATCTAAGTCACGGAATTAAAACACATAATCCGGACAATATCCTGATACATTATTACAACTCCAAATAAAACGAGACATAATTAAGTCTAAGTGGCATGGACAATCCCCGTGCTCACCAAATCAACAGCATAACCAACAGAGTCTCAACAGAGAAATCCATAAACTGAAGCTAAAAGCATAAGACAGTAAATAAGATCCACATCCAATCATAACAGCATATCAGCATAAGCAGCATAAACATGCAACATCTATCAGCTAAGCTCTGGCCTCCTGCCACTAGAGGTCTCAACCCCCGAATTATCTGAACCTAAAATAAGCATTCCCCAAACGTGGGGTGAGATCTCTAAACTAGAAATCTCAGTAAGACAAAGGGTCCTCAAGGATCTTCCACCCCAAGCTTACTTACATGTGCAATATAAGTTCTAAAAGCATTTATATCAATATAAGTTCCAAAACTCAATGCAGTGCAACAGATATTCATGCCATGTGTGTCAATACTATTTTACTGGCCAGAGAAATGCAGGAATACGTCTATTACCCTCACGTAGTACAAGGAACACCGCTTGCACCTCACCCACAGCCTCACCATCTTGTATGTACCACATACTCAGGCTTACCGTATAGGTGGAACACCACATGCATATCATAAAGGAACTAGCATATAACATCTCAATTGCATTTCAAAATATCCAAAGCATGTAACACAGCATGCATATAACCATACCCCTGTGGACATAGTGGAACCACAACATGGCTAAACCGAGGACACGAAATCTTACCTTGCAAGCTCACTATCCAGTGCCAAGAGTCCACACAGCTCAAGTCCAACACACAACAGATCACAATCTGATTAGGACCAGCAAGCATATCAACATTTATAGCTCATAAGCATAACATAAAGACTACGTTTTCCTTTTAAGGTTTACGTCTTAAGGCTCACACAAAGCCACAAGCCCTTAATCACTTGATTCTGACTTAGTTCAATTAAAACAAAAGTTCAACTTCATCACTCTAGGGTCCACAAACCCATACAAGACCTCTGTATGAACAGTACCTTACTGTTCATCGAAAACCCAGAATATCCGGATATTCCTCGGGGACATATCCGGATATGCAATATCCGGATATCTCTATGGAAATATCCGGATATCCAGATCTCCATATCCGGATATCCAATAATAAGGATATCTGGAAATATTACATGTTGCTTCCTAGTGGTGAGCCTAACACTTTGTTTGTGTGGGAAAAAGTTTAAATAATAAATTGTTATGATATACTTTGAACACTTATTATATTCTTGCTTTATTATTTCTACAAACAAGTTGTGTTGTAAACTTGATAAACCTTATATACTTTGTGGTTTGAGTTATTATTGTTAAATGGATCACAATGATAATTAGGTTCGCCAACCTATTTGATGATAGTTTGTACTCGAAAGTTAGCCATGACACATTAATTAGAAGCCGTTACTATTTAATATTTTTATTATTTTAACTTCATTCATTAATGAACGTTGAAAAAGAAATAATTTTAAAATATTTCTTATAATATATATATTTTTGAAATATTTTAATTTGTTCATCGCTTCTCGACTAATCCGATTCGGAGTGAATTTCGGGATCACGACTTTAAACCCCTACCAAAGACGGTACTAGAGAAGATCAAACATATACTCTCACTTTCACTTGCTCAGTTATCTGACACCAACTTATCTACTATCATTTGGTATATTTCTTATAATAGATTAAATTATTTAATATTTTTTAAAGTAAATTCATGTTATTTTAAATTTTTAGAGGACTCGTGGAGATATAAGAAAAGGGAAATACACCCAAGTGTGGCGGCTCAGTTGGTAGCATGGGGCTGAGTGGTGGGAGAGAACCTCAGGTTCGAATCTCACTAACACCATCTGTGGAGGAGCATAAGTATCGTAATCCTTGGACTCATACCCGAACTCTGGATTAGTCCCATCGGTGGCTCAAAGAGTCGAACCTGTGGGGATACCAGGGGTTCTGATTCGCCTCAAAGAGGTAATTAGGATTAGTTTTCAAAAAAAAGAAAAAGGAAATACTTTTCTTATGTTGCAGGTAAGTAGTTACCTCATGTTGTAAAAATAAAATTATAAGTGGGACCCACAGGTAAGAGGAGAGAGAAAAAAGTGGTGGGACCCAATCCTTTTTTGTGTGTGTAGGAAAGTTATTTATCTCATTTAAAATGAGATAAACATAACCCATAAGAAAACAAATAACTACAAACGAAAAGATCAAGGCATTTAATATTACTTTTTCGTCATAAAAATTTGGGAAATATTTTTCTTATGTTGTAGGAAAGTAGTTATCTCATGTTATAGAAATAAAATTATAAGTAGGACCCACAGATAAGAGGAAAGAGAAAAAAAGAGTGGTGAGACTCACCCCTCTTTTTTGTGTGTAGGAAAATTGTTTATATCATGTAAAATGAGATAAATATAACCCAAAAATTTATATTTTCAATTTAAAATTTTTAAGACAATATATCAAACACATGTTATTCGTTGATTGTTGTTTCTTTTTTCCTTTTTTATTTGAGTTTGTTTTGCGTTATAAAAATAAAATTCAAACTGTGAAGTCAACGTGATATAAGGTTTCTTATTGAAAGTCAGCACTCGCTTTTGTCCTTTTCTTTCTCATCTTTAATCTGTGTTAATGCATTCCAAGTGCAAGCAGAAACTTCAAACTTAACGCTTCTCCTCTTTTATGAACGCATTCACTCCTCTGCAATTTTTATCTTTTTTTTATTTTTTATTTTGAGGGTAAAACACTTCTCTGCAATTTTTTTTATTTTTTTATTTTGTAATCTTTGACCAAATAGAAAGCTTTAAAAACCTTCCAAATTATTTTCTCTCAAATGTGGTATCTTCTCATACCTTTTCAGTGATTTAGAGGTTACCTGGTTGGTGATAAGGTGCTTTATATAAATAAAATATTACACTTTTTCATATGTCCTCATCACATACAAGAATCCAAATTATAAATTCTTTTTTTACTAAGTAATAAGATTTCTGCTTCCTTTTTTACTAAGTAATAAGATTTCTGCTTCCTCTTTTTCAGCTTTTACCTTTTGTAGAATTGGCATATATAAACATTCTAAGAGTTCACAATTCTCAGACACAGAACAAGAAAAAATAAAAAGACTAAAAAGCTTTAGTCTTTGCAGGTAATTTTTCTGAGTAAGGTTGAAAAATGGCTTCTCAAAAGAGAGGTGGTGGTGGGTCTGGTGATAAGCAAGATGCTCACAACTCAGCCAAAAAGAACTTCCATCGTCATTCTCCCAATCAGATAGCTAAACTTGAAGCGTAAGATCATTCTTTCTTGATGACAATCTTTTCATTTTCATTTTCATTTTCAAGTGTTTTTTGTTTTCCCTTCATTGGAAGGATTAATTTTCTCTGTTGGGCTTATCTTTGATTTACCAGCGTAGAATTTTTTTTTAACGATTATACAAACATCGCCTCATTTTTCATGATAGGTCATGTTCCCCAAAATAAAATTGAATTTATACTCAAAGTAAAATAAACATGTGTTTTGTACCCGCTGTACGTAAATCGAAATAATTCTTGCGGGGTGTATATGTTAGAAAAATAAAACCAAAATTGAACCTTTAGCTAACCTCTTAAATTTTTAAGGGACATAATCCTTGAATATTTCATGATTTTGAGGGAGTATTTTTGTTAATGAATTTATCTTCAGTTGATCATTGATTGTGATTATGACTGTTTATTTATTCACGACGGATTTTCATTTTTCATTCTATTTAATTAACTTTGAATTTGACGTGTTGTTGGCAATTGTATGTTGATAGTTTGTAGGAGGTTAAATGTTCAATTTCAGCACATTTGTTGGTCTCCCGAAAATTAAAGTGTATATGGGTGTTCTCTTTTTCAGTTAATCAGAGTATTTAATTATGTTGTGAAGAAGCTATTCAATCCAAAATCTTAAGGTGATGAGTAAGAGCTTTTTTAATAATTTATATTATTTTTTAACACACTCACTCACATAAGAGTTGAGCTTGAAGCGTGAATATTGTATAGGCCTAATTTTTGGTTTATTTAATTCCACTAGAAAGTTTTTACCAAAAAAAAAAAAAAAAAATCCACTAGAAAGTGAGGGGAGGTTAGGATCAAACTTGTGACTTTGTAGTCACTGAAGCTCCGGTATCATGTAAATAATCACTTCAACCCAAAACCTTAAATGGGTTGAATTGATTTTTTTTACATGATATTAGAGTTTTAGTGACCATAGGGTCACGAGTTCGATCATCGTCGCCTCCCACTTGTGGAATTAGATAAATATAAGGTAAACGAAAAAAAAAAAATTTGGTCTATGCAATATCCAATCTTCAAGCCCAAAGAGCTCTTATGTGAGGGGCGTGTTAAAGAATAATATAAACTATTAAAAAAACCCTCATCCAACACATTAAAATTTATTTTGGGTTGAAGTGATTCTTTATATATGTTTTTCTTTTTCTTTTTCGGCTTCGTAAATGATTATAAATGATCCGAAGCACATCCGAAGATCCTATTAACCATTTATGATGTCACTCTATTTCCCTACATTTCTATGTAAGATTTTCATATCTAGCCTTGCATCCAATGTTGGTGTCTATGCTCCTTTAATATTAATATATGTCTTAATTCTTTCCTTTCTTTTTCCTTTTTCATTTTTTTTATTATTTGATATTTAACTCATCTGTCAATATATACTCTCAACTAATTGAAATTTTCATTTTTTGAAACAAAGAATATTCGAGGAATGCCCACTCCCAGACGAAAACCTGCAACGTCAAATAGGCGAGCAGCTTGGCCTTAACCAAATACAAGTGAAATTTTGGTTTCAAAATAAGAGGACAAAAGCGAAGGTAATATTGTCTATTTTCTTTACTATATATGATTCTTTATTTAAGGACAATTCTATGACAAGCTTAGCTATGTAATGCTGATCATTTTATATATAAAACATGCAATTTCCAGAATCAAAGTGAGCGATATGATAACAATGCTCTTCGGCTTGAGAATGCAAATTTACAATCAGAGAACTTCAGATTGAAAGAGACTTTGAAAAATGTACTTTGCTCATCTTGTGGGGGTCCATCCTTTGGGCAGGAACAACGCCAATATCGTTTGCAAAAGTTAAGGTTAGAAAATTCAAGATTAAATCAAGAGGTTAGTAGTTTGATTGATTCTCTTTGGATTCGGATTCTGTATATGTTTGATTATATATATGTATATGATAATTCATTTTTAATATTGATATTCATTTATGAATTAATTTTCAGCATGAGACATTATCCAAACTTTTGGAAAACAATAGATGGCTACCTCTTCCACCTTCATCTTCATATGATCCCTCCGGAGGAAGTGATCTGAATCAAAACATTCCTGTTCATGATCCGCACATTCGTGCCTTTATTGAGTCACTTAATCAAAACATTCCAGCTCCTACTCAAACGAATGATCAAATAATTTCGCCTCTTGCTTCTGCTATTGATGAAGATATTTCAACACTCGAGCAGGAAATTCCTCTTCCCTTTCTTGATCTAGATTTTGGTGCAGTTAGTGGAGTTTCTAACGATGATATGTTGCATCATCCAACGAACACAAATATGGACATAGAGAGGGCATTAATGGTGGAGACCGCAAAAAGTGCCATGGAAGAATTAATAAGACTTTTGCGTATGAATGAACCATTTTGGTTAAGATCTGTGATTGATGGAAAATTCGTTCTTCAACAAGAAAATTACAAAAATATCTTTCACAAAGATATTCAACTAAATGAACCTCATGCTCGGATAGAATCCTCAAAAGATGCACGGATAGTGAGCATGAGAGGGACGCAGTTGGTTGATATGTTTTTGAATTCGGTTAGCAATTCTAACTCTTCTTATTTTATCATATATATTTCTCACTCTCTCTTTAATATTGTATTGATTATCCACATATTGAAAATATATATACTCATATATAAATTGTATGGTACTCTAATATTAATTAATTTCTAGGACAAATGGGTTGATCTTTTCCCAACAATTGTTCAAAAAGCACATACAATTGAAGTACTTGAAAGCGGTTTGTTGGGAAGCCGAGATGGAGCATTGCAATTGGTATGTTTTGCTAAAAACCTTATATATGTTATTTAGCTTTAGTCTGTTTAATTTGCGTTAATTAGATGAGAATTAAGTGAAGACTCTTTGTACAGATGCATGCAGAAATGCACATCCTTTCACCATTGGTTCCAACTCGACAATTCTCCTTCCTTCGTTATTGTAAACAAGTTCAAGTCGGTGTATGGGCGATAGCCGATGTGTCATTTGATTCCTCCAAATACGGCGTCGCTTTTTCTAACGCTTGGAGACACCCCTCTGGATGCATGATTAACGAAATGATCGATGGGTCCTGCATGGTTAGTAAATTAGTAAATTTACATATCTTAAATTTCTAGAACAGCTACGTATACATATATACATGTAACAGACTTTATTATATCTATGTGGATGTAAGCAATAACTTGCATTCCAAAAGAAAATATACTTTTATGTAACTTTAGTTGATGTTTAATTTATGCTCTTAGGTTACTTGGGTTGAACATGTGGAAGTGGATGATAAGATCCAAACTCACCAGCTTTTCAGAGAAATTATTTGTGACAATAATTCATACGGAGCTGAAAGATGGGTTTTAACACTTGAAAGAATGTGTGAGAGATTTGCAAGTGCCTCACTTGCAAATATACCTAGTTGTGACGCTGGAGGTTACTCTCCGCTATCTTGATTTATTTTCCCTTTGATCCATTGTTTGTTTACGGCTTATATATATATATATATATATATATATATATATATATATATATATATATATATGCTATTGAATTTTCAGTGATAAGTATAGCTGAAGGAAGGAGGAGTGTTAAGAAGCTTGCTCATCGTATGGTCAAGATTTTTTGTGGAAATTTAGACATGCCAGGTAACATGGAATTGCCACATATAAATAGTGGGGTTATGGTATCTGTTCGGAATAACACAGAGCCAGGTTTGCCAAACGGCATCATTGTCACTGCTGCTACCTCCTTTTGGCTTCCTTTCTCCCCTGAGAATGTCTTTGACTTCTTGAAAGACAATAGAAGAAGAGCTCAGGTTCACATATATATATAAAATTAGCATATCTTTTATTTTATAGTAAATATTAATCTTGCATTATTACACATTCATTAATACCTAAAAAAAATAAAAAAATCTTGCAGTGGGATGTTCTTTGCAACGGATATCCAGTGGACGAGATTCAACATATCTCAAATGGAACTCTTCCTGGCAACTGTACTTCAATTATTCGGGTACTTGCTTTTTTATTTCTAGTTTCATGTTTCAAATTTAACTAAATTAGTAGGTTTATATTTCAATTAGGTTATATCATGGGGGAAAAAAAATAATGATCCCAAGTTGAATTTCAAAGTCATCTTTGATAGTTCTTGCTAAAGATATTGCTTCAAGTAGGTTAAGATAAATTCAATATGGAAATATATCAAATAACTTGTTTCATATCTTCAATGAAGATCAACAAAAAGTAATGTGATGTGTGTGGATTAGATTTTTCAACTTGTTTATTATGAGTATATCTTTTAAACTTAATTATGGTAAAAAGTGTGTTAGAGGGAAGTAATTTATGACTATAAACATTTATATGAAAAATAATTCTAGCGTAGTTAATAATTGATGTTTGAATGGTGTTAGTAAAAACCACTACTAATTTGTATCAAAAGGAGGATGAGCTCTCCAATGTGTGATAGTTAAAGAATTGATTATAAATAAGTTGAATTTGATTAGCATTTCAATTGTTGTTGTGGTGAATGCAGCCATCAGTCCCTTGGGAGAACAATAAGTTGATTCTACAAGAAAGTTGTATAGATCCCTTGGGATCTTTGATGGTATATGCTCCAATAGATGCAGAAACCCTTAATTTCGCAATGAATGGAGGAGACTCTACACTATTGCCTATTCTTCCATTCGGGTTTACAATATCAGGAGATGGAAGATCAAAAACTGTTGGAGGAGAGTCAGGAGGTTCGTTGCTAACTCTTGTTAACCAAGAACTTTCTTGCAGTACATCTGCAATGGGGGAGCTAAACATTGAATCTTCAGTAGCTGCTATGAATACACTTATAACATCCACTGTGGAGAAAATTAGATTTGCTTTGAATTGTTCCAATTTTGATTAATTATTTCGACATGTACCTTCACTATTGTCTGAAGAAAGATAAGATGAAGTTTTTTGTATGTTCAAAATTATTCGTAGTTATTGGAACGTTTTCTTGCAATTATGCAGGTTTGTTTCAATGAAAATTATAAAGTAAGTTTATATAGAATAATTAAGAAACTAGAATTAAAGAAATTTCCTACAAAAATGCTCGGAGATAATTACTCAGCTGATCAACCAAACCAGAGATTATTTTTTAGGCCATTAAGAGGAATCGTAGTTATGTACTTGTATATTGGCAACTTTTCTTATAAAATTTGCCCCGGAGTTGTACCATGTCATTACATGAATCCTTACATTATATATGTCTAATTAGGAGTATATTTGAAGGGTTCGTTTTTTCTGCAGTTACTCAGATAAGTTATCTGCAGTAAGCCTAATACGACGTCGTTTTGGGGCGGAAATCATGGTGCTTTTGTAATTTTAATTTATTTCAGGGTTATAATAGTCTTTATATTTATAACTTTTTAAGATTTCAATACCAAAACGACGTCATTTTGGGAATAAATGCAGATAACCTATCTGCATTAACTACAGAAACATTTTTCCCATATTTGAATGAGGAAGGATATTCTAATTATCAAAAAAATTCACTACCAACTTATTACCTATCTAATCACCATTAGAATAATATTTTCTCTCTCTTAGATCCAAGGATGATGTGATGGGTAATAAGTTAGTACTGAAAATTTTTGGCAGTTAGAATATCCCTCCTCTATTTGAATATGTACACTTTTATTTACAAACAGTGAAAGTTGGGAAATAACCTTTGAAGTAATTTCCGTATGCATACCTCATGTCACATAATTTTCTTTAACGAGATGTTTGGTAGGGGGTTTTGTTATAAATACCTAGGCAACTTCTATTGATATTTCAATTTGACCATGTTTGGTATAACACTTTTAAAAAAAATTAAATAGGAAAATCCATTGCCCATCCATCATGATTTGTTTGTAAAATTTCATGAAAAATACTATTCCAAAAACCTTATGAACTTTGCTGGGAAAAAAAGAGAGAGGTTGAAATGAAGATAAAATTGACCCTAGTGGAGTACATTTTTTCAATCTCTTTCTTATGTGGAGATTCAAAAAGTAGGGTGGTTATTTTTGTAATTTTAACCCATTTTTTATTAATATTTTATCTTCAACTAAACATAGACTTGGAAAACTTTAATCAATTTTCCTGGAAATATTTTATCCTACCAAACAACTTTTTTTCAATTTTACCATCAAACTTACTTTTTTTCATTTCCCCATTAATTATATTAACCTAGTAAAAAAAAAATTCTCGTACCAAACGCCCCATACGCCCCATAATTATTCAACCTTTCTTTGTTGTCAAATGGATTCAAATGTATAGATATAGCCAATGGTGGTTATAACCCGTCTCTCACGTGGACTCTACGTACCGTGCAAATGGATCATTTCCCTATTATTATTTAGGGGTTTGCATTCATCATGCAACATGACACAAAAAAATTTTCTACACACATAATATTTTATGGGACTCGCACTTTTTGAAGCAAAAAAAAAAAAAACTAAAGCACGCAAAACAAATATCTATAACATTACACAATTACTTTTCCTACAACATAACTCTTTTCCTACAACATAACTCTTATAAAACTCTATTATCTATAGCTATAGCTTACTATTGAGAATATTTCTATCCAATGAAATGAAAAACTTTTCTTTTTCTTTATCCCTTTCCCAATGTTCGTTGTCATCTAGTATCATGTCATTATTACAAGGATTTAATGTTTAAGAGATAATTTATCTCTTTTTTTTTTTTTGGTAAATATAATTCAGGGCTTTGGTTTCGTACTGTTGCAGTAACCATTTTTTTTCCTGCAAAGCAAAACGACAACATAAATAATAATAAAAAATTTGTAACAAACACTGTATTCAATAATTATCTTTTGTCTGTAGCTTTGCATGACAATAAACTTTTTCCTGTAAAATGATTGTTATTTATCTCTATAATTTATCTCCTTTACCCATATAAAAGTAGCATTTAACGAGGAGTATAATGTTGCATGACCTAAACAAAAAAAAAAAAAAAACTTTCCTACACTCATAATAAAGAGGAGAGAGAAAATGGAATAATGAAAGAGAAAAAAAAAAACATGTGAACCTCATCTTAGTTATGTGAATAGGAAAGTTTTCTTGGATCATGTAACATTATACTCATAAAACCCATAAAAATACATGAGATCCATGCAAATCCATATGATCAGAAGAAAAAGAAAGACAAAGAGAAAACATGAGGTCTACATATTTTTATGGAAAAAGTGTGTCATTTTAAATGTTATGTCGTTTTAAGAGAGAGAGATAGACATAGATTGAATTTTTTATTTAAAATTTAAATTAAAAAATCACTCACTTTCTCTCTCTTATAATTTCCATTTTCTTGTGTATATCTCTCTCCTAAAATGACATAACTTATATCATTTAAAATGACAAACACCAAACCCTATTTTTATATGTATATAGATAATAAATTTATCTGCTATAAACATTACACCCTTATTTCAATTACAATATGCATGTCCCCGTCTTAACATCACCCGAAAGCAATTGAAGTACATATGTCCACCTACAAATGTGTAGCCAAAGCTTTAACTGATAAATTGAGAATCAAGATACTGGCCATAGGGTCACAGTCTTTGTAAATCAATTAATTTACTCTAGTAAAGGAAGATGCCTTTTGGAGATAACCCAAGTGCTTTGATTTCATATCAAGCTCCTTCACACGTTCCTCATGTTGGGATTATATATAACTTCAAGCAAACAGGCTCATTCCATGTTAGAGAATAATATAAATTATTAAAAAAGCTCTCACTCAACACCTTAAGGTTTTGGGTTAAAGTAATTCTTTTATATAATATCGGAGTATGAGTGACTACAAGGTCACAAGTTCGATCATCACCGCCTCCTTTTTAAAATGGGATTAAAATAAAAAGCACAAAAAGTAAACCAAAAATTGGACCTTGCATAATCCACGTTTCAAGTCTAAAGGGCTCTTGCGTGAGAGAATGTGTTAGATAATAATATAAATCATTAAAAAAGTCTTCACTCAACACATTAAGATTTTGAGATAAAGTGGTTCTGCGCAAAACTACATTGTCTCCGAGAAGAGGTATGGTGTGTGACATCCTCATTTGATTTTGGATGGTCAAGATATTTTCCATTGACCATGTTAGCTCACAACTCACCTTGAGCAAAATTTGCACATTTTTTCACACGTGCCAGGCCGATGTGTTTATACAACCATGTAGCTGTGGAAAGCAAAAATATTAAGACCTGGTGAGTCACTAGTCAGACTTGGTAATTCATTTGGGTTAACCACTTTGATTCTCGTCATTGGATGACTTGTGGATTCCATGGAAGAAAGGGAACTTCAGCCCTTGGAAATAATCAGTTGCACACTTCATAACGTGTTTACCTCCAAACCTTCTAATAAGTAATAATGAATGACTTGATCACGAGAAGAATCATACCATGGTCATACAAGCAATTGTGGATACTGACGTCAAGTTCAAGTACATCGTAATTGGCTAGTCAGGTAAAATAATAATACTAATAACAATAATAAATAAATAAAAGAAAAAGTGTTTGTCATTTTAAATGATATAGCACTCTTGTCCTTTTAAAGGAGAGACAGATACAGAAAAAAAAAATTTATTTAAATTTTAAATTTAAAAAAAATCACTCACTTTCTCTCTCCCATGATTTTCATTTTTATGTGTCTATATCTCTCCTAAAATGACATAACTCATGTCATTTAAAATAACAAACACCAAGCCCATAAATAAATAAAGTAGAATAAAGATATTAATAATTGATTTACTATTTAGAAGCGAGGATGCCATGTTACAACATCAAGTGGCATAACTGACAATCATAGAGCTTCATTTCGACGACTTTGGATATATGTGACTAAACAATGGGTACTATACGGGTCATATAAAAAATGAACCGTCACTTTTGAATCTTATTTTGTAATGCAATTACGCAGGTATATGTTATATATTTAATAAAAGGTATAATATCTCTATATTATAGAAGATAAAATCATTTCTTACAAATATACAAAAGTATGTGGAGCTTATTATTTTTTTTTCTTATTTTCACATGATCCTACATAGACTTCACACACTTTTATATATATATGGAAAATAATTTTATTTTCTACGGCATAAAAAATATCAAATCCTTTAATAAATTAAATGCCTAGAGATTTAATGATGATGACCTGGTTAGTGACTTTGTTTCTGTATTCAGATTTTTGACAATATAACTTTTGTTCACAATATGTCTGAGATTTAAGAGCGTCTCAACACTCAAAACCAAAAGGAAATAGTAGCGTTTATATAAAATAATCTTAACTTATAAATATATATATATATAGGGTCAGGATCATTTTACACCAGTGTAAGTTACACTCTCAATCTTGTCCATTGATCTAATTTATATCTAAGGGTTCAAATCTTTTAGTAATGTGAGTCATTGGATACAAGTGGATCAATGATTAAGATTGAGTGTAAGACTTCTAACTCTTACACCAGTGTAAGAATATCCTACCCCATATATATATATATATATATATATATATATATATATATGGACAAGATATTCTTACACCAGTGTAAAAGTTAGAAGTCTTACACTCAATCTTGATCATTGATCCACTTGATCTAACGGCTCTAAGATGAGGTGTGAAATTTGAAAATTGACACTGGTGTCAAAGGATCCTGCCTCTCTCTCTCTCTCTCTATATATATATATATATATATATATATATATATATATATATATATATATATATCTATTAATCTCATGTTGCATGAGATAATTATTTTATATATATATATATATATATAAAAGAAAAATATTTCTCAAGCAGAAATGTTAAATCTATAAAATTATCATTATTGTTATTTCTCAAGCAACTTGAGAAATG